AAGCGCTCATTTGATGCCATGTACATTGTGTGTACAGCAAAGGGGGATCATTGCGTACAGAAGGGAAAATCCCGAAAAACAGTGCGCCATGATTGCGTACAAAGGAGAATTTCCCGTGGTCTTGAGTGTCTGGTTTTTACGAGTATTTTATGTTAACTATTGAGCCACATGAAACGGCTGTTTCATGGACTAATGTATTCTTAAGTGTTTACCAGTGTTTTGTACACGTTTACATGACAACTTCTGTACGGAAGCACATTTTTTTTACTTTTGATGACGTCAAATGAAACTCAAAGGTTGGGCTCGCAAAAGCGCCCAATTGGGCGGGTTTTTTTAATTGGGCGTTTTTTTCTAAAAACATGCGCATTGGGGGTAAATAGTGTATGGCGAGCAATATTTACTTTGAGAGATATGGGCTATTTAATGGGTTTTTGTAATGATTGTACTTGATATGTTTACACTACAGCAGCATATGCGTGCAGATCCTCACCTGACTCTTTTAAATTATCCTCTGTATAATCACTACAGGTGCTATTTTCAACCCTCAACCCCCAACATCAACATTAACATCAACATCAACATCAATAATCAACATCAACAAAAAACATCAACAATCCACAATCAACATCAACAATCAACATCAACAATCAACAACAACAATCAACAATGCGAAAAAGCCATATTCTCTGTTAATTAAACAGACATAACCCTCTAGCCCAACACCGTGTGTTTGTCCCTTCAAAATCTAGTTAGGTTTTGGGCTTTAGCCCAAAACCTAATGTTATTAGCCCAAAACCTATTGTTATTGTATGAGTTAACTATTTAGGTGTTGGGCTTTAGAATCTAATATTCTTGTTAGGTGTTGGGCTTTAGCCAAAAACCAATTGTTATGCTATGGATTAAATATTATTGTTTTTGAGTGGTCGGGCACAACCCGACCACTCTCTGTTATTGTTCTGATAAACCTTTATTTTTTTCCGGACAATACTTCTCCGCGGCTTTTCTTCTAAACGGTTCATGATATGAACTTGTAACTTTCAATTTATTTCGACCCTCATCCGTAGTGGCGCATATTACTCTGACGTCATGATGACGTTATCGGGTGTCAAATTACAAGCGATTTTAGCTGAAAAAGTGACCAATTGCTTTCACCTATAACTCTTGAACAAAATCATCAATAGTGTTTGTATTTTGTTATCAGATAGACTATGAATTGATAAACATTTTTTGTCCGTGAACTCGCTCGACCTTTACTTCCGGGTCTACCGGAAGGTCAAAGTTAGGTGAATTCAAAATGAAGACTTTAGCCTGAAATCAAAACATTCAAAGCAAAATTTCTTACGAACGGTTTACGTTATGATCCAGAAACCTAGTGTGAACTTGTACCATGTAACGAAGAGGTTATAAATGTTGTTATGTAATCATGACGTCATCAGGTATCAAATTACAAGCGATTTCAGGGTAGTTTACTAAATAGTTTACGCTATATCTTTCGAACTAAATTGAGTATCGTGTTCGTTTTTTCGTGAGGTTGTAGACTATGCCATGAGAAACATTTCTTGTCCCCGGGCATAAAACCGCTTGACCTTCACTTCCAGTGTTACCGGAAGTGCAATGAAAACCGAATATAATTCAAAGATGGAAGCATTTTACTACACACATATCATTTTGATAGTGTTTAGTGATGTTTGCCAGACAAAAAAACCCAGTGTGATGACGTCACCTTTAAGAAAGGGCGCCTCCTAGCTGCACATAAAACAGTGTTTGCTTCTATAATTTGAAAATCATCCGTTCAAATTTTACTAAATCGGCCTTTGATATTCTTTCATGAGCTACAAATAACTTGGCAAGGTTTCAAATTCATGACGTCATCAGACCGGAAGTTACTTTAATGAGAATTTGAGAACAACCATATTTTAAATTTAATTTATATCATTCAATTCATGTCGTATACCTTCGCAGCCCAAATAACGATATCCATTAGAATGTTCACTTTTTTCTTCCAAATACTGTGGCGTCATAAAACCAGAAGTTAGGTGTTATGAATGCAAACACTTATGTTTTCCATATTTTCATGCGTTATGTAACTTCACAATGAACATTTATCCATTCCGCACTAAAATTCCGAACTAAAATCAGTGTTCACTTCCCGTTTTTGAATAATGTCGTCATTGAGCAAGAATTAACTTGTATGTGTACATGATTATAATGTTTACTGGATTTTATCACACAATTATTGATGGTACTGGGAAGGATTTAATTTTGTGATCTTTTGTTCTTACATAAAAATATTCATAGCTGAACTCGGCAGTGTTTAATGAAAAAAAATGCCTGCCCGACCACTCCGCATTTGTAACAACAAACGCGAACCTCTAGTTGTTGTATTTATTCTTCAAGACAAATTCTTTTCCAGAACTGTTTGTCAAAATGAAAATATATGAACTTCAATTGGCAATACATGAATGCACAACCCACTGAAGATGAAGTGTTTTGCAATTACGTCATCATGACGTCATCGTGGGTCACGTGACGTCACTCAAAAAATAATAAATTTAATCTTTGAAATTCAATATAAAATCAACCGTGAGAGACCGGAACTTGAATTTGCGGGAATCGACATGGTAATACATGCTCTTCATGTTATGTTGTGCGCGTCAAATCACGTGACCCTTCCTTCCGGTCGAAACCGGAAGTGCCTAATAATATGAAAGTGGAAACAGATATGAACTTGCTTTCAACAATGTTAGCGTCTGCCTGGATTGACCTTACCAAAAAATGATGGGTGACGCCATGAAGTGTTGGAGCGCCCTTTAACGGCAGGTTGAAAAACGTCAAAACGCATTTTCACTTGATGTCTGTGGCGAAGTTTGCGGTAATCGCTTCAAAATTAATGCATATCATGACCATAATGCAGACAAGACCTGTGCGCGAAAAAAAATTGATAACGTCATCAGACCGGAAGTTACAATAAAAAGACCTTTCAACCTTAAAAATTGCTACAAAATATACCGTGATAGATATAATCAAGATTTGGCTATATGTAGCACAGTTACCATAGCTCTTGAACTTTTAGGTAATGACGTTCAATGACGTCATCAAGTATCATATTACAAGCAATCAAAGATTTCTTGATTTAATCATTGAAAATCAATGTAAAATCAACTGCTACAGATTTGATTTTGTTTTTTTTTAGGGCAATCTTTACAATATTGCAGATCGTAATTTTCGGTATTAAGTGCAAAATCACGTGACCCTTCCTTCCGGTCGAAACCGGAAGTGCCTTATTATTTGAAATTGGCAGAAGATGCAAACTTGCTTTCAATGACGCGAGTGTCTGCCTAGGCGGTACTGTACACAAATATTACAGTTGACGTCATCAAATGTTAGAGCGCCCTCTGGCGGCATGTTGAAAGAGTCAAACATGGATTTAAACATGCATTTTGAGTCGATGTGTGTGGCAAAGTTTGTGGTAATCCATGGCCCAACACCGTGTGGTTCTTCGTTTAGCTATATTCGACCACACATGGTGAAAAAAATCTTGTCAAAAATCGCAAGAATATTGTTATTATAATTTGAATACAAGTCACCAAAACCATTGTTGTCCACGTGCAAGTCTAGTGTATAGTGTTTTTTGTCTTCAAATCAAGCTCCGCTGAGTTAAGCGGATCGAATGTCCGATGGACAAACAGGTTTGGCGCATGAAACGTTTAAATTACCATATCTCATCTCAGAGAGAAAATATGCATTTGCAATCACTTTTCCTCACTTATCTTAGACAGGAAGGCGTTTACATTTATAACAAAAGTAGCCTGCATCAACTTTTATAATTTTATTACAAAACATACTTGGTTAAACTCATGGCACTGTAATGGTTTTTTTTTTGGAAGCGGACAAAATGCTTACATGATCTGATGTGCTAAAACTGCTCTGGAGTTAATGGAAAAACATATCATAAACCCCGATTTTCTTAAAGTCCACGCACAGGTATGGTTATGTTAAGCACAAAATGTCGGTTCGGGTTTCATTTGGTGACCCATTGAACTTTATGTGGAAAGTTTAATATGCATCCTATGGTTGGAGCGTACTTCTCCATAATTATCTGCGCATGACTGCATAGAATAACTTAAGTGTATTTAAAAAAAACACTCAGCCGCGCCCTTGATGGATATTTTCCCCAGATAAGTTGGCTTCGATTCTTCCAGTCTTTGGCAGTGGAGGACTCTTACATCGGATAAAGATTGTCTTTCGTGGGTAAGAATATCATAATATCAATGATAAAACGTGCCGTAAATGAGTAAATAAATATAAATAACTTTTTAAACTTTGCATGAAATGAATACTGATTAAAAAAAAAAAGGTCAGAAATATGAACAAAAAATGTGTTTCGATCTATTAAGATATAATACAAACAATTCTTTCTTTCTTTAGGATTTGCTGATTTTTTCCCCAGCTCTGAGTGTGACCTTATCATCCAAACCTCAGGTTCGAAAGATTAACATTCATAATTAATCTTTCCGTCGTTGTTGCAAAACAAAAACCTCCAAAAGTGAAGTCATAATAATCAACAACTAAAAAAGCAGCAGGATATAGTATTTATTTAACGCGGTGTTTATGTAGCCATAAACAACAGTCATCAATTTCGCAAAAAGTAGTTACACCTTATAAGCAATAATTACAACAAAAAGCCGCAGCCTTCAGCTTTTCAGGGCAGTTTTTTAGTCATCACAAATGAACAAAATCCGTCCATTTCACAAAACTTTACATACATCTTATCTTAGAAACAATTAACTTAAAGCATTAAATTTACAATAAGTCTTATCGGTCGCTTTGATCTTTCTATGGTTGACTCTGACGTAAAGACGATAACTGGGATTAATTGTTTGACATTCTTCTGGGCAATAGAAGATGCTATATCGGTAATATGTGTTCATGTTTAGACGTTTTCAATTACAGGCATCACTGGTTGGCTGGCGAAGAGTGTTTGGACTCATCGTCCCGCGATGGAGGGGACGTTGGAGCTCCCAGCCCTCGGCAGACGGATGAGCCTCGGTACCCCGTATGATTGCCGTAGTCATCAAATCATCTCGCCTGGTGCCACCCTTTGGGACCAAGAGATCATATCAAAACAGAAGGAGGTCAGTGAAAAGAAAAGTCACAAAGTGACCCTCGTGTGGTCCCATACCTTCAACGACAAATGCAAAGCTCTTGAAGTAGACGAGTCTCTGAAAGCAAGCATTCTGGCTGATTTAGTGCAACCGGCAGGCTCGGCTAAGTTTCTGAGTGATCAGCCGCCGCCAGAAGGTACATGTCGCCTTTCCGTGCACTCCAAAGCCACGAGCGTGATCGAAAAATTGCCAATCAATCAACTGGGAAGTTGCAAAATTCTGAATTCTGAAGTGATAACAGAAGGGAAGGCCACTCACGTAGTGGTGGGGATTTTGTATGGGTCCAACACTTTCTTTATCTTCGACAAAACTTGTGGGGAAGAAACAAAAGATGATTGTCTGAAGTCACTCATTCCCTTTATGAATAAATTCAGGTCCGTCCCGGATAAGGGGGAAAAGTCAACCACGTTTGACCCTAAGGAAGTTAGCGATGTAGAGTGCAAGGTTCACAGTGATTTAGATGTAGAGGATTGCCACTTTGATTGCAAAGCTGCTTCCAAGTTACTGAGAGAGATACCCGATATGATAAAAGAAAATGCAGTTCCGGTAAAGTTCTTTTTGTACCCACTGCACAAGCTAGATTCAAGAGCAGCCAGGGTATGCAAGGCTGTGAGCGATGGTCTTCTTTCACAGGCCCAAGAATTTCTGGAGGGTTTAGAGCGTTGTTCCGCGCGTGCCAGCAAAATGGCGGCTGATCCGCTGTGTGTAGATTTCCCACAGTTTGCCGAGAAGCTCGCGTTTTTCAAACTGATGATGAGCGAGTATAAAACGTATTTTCAGAGAGACTTTGCGCGCGTGTTGCCCTCAATCCAGGGAGGTAGCGATGGGGAAAGCGTCCTGAAAGACATGCTGCAGAACGCGACAAGTGGGACGCCCTTCAAATTGGCCAAACTCGATGCCTGGCTAAAAAGCAAGTGCAAAGAGTTGAGTGCTGTGAGTTCACACGTCAAGATTCTGAATGACATAGAGATTGTTAAGTCGAAAGAAAGATTGGATGATATCCTGATGAACCTAAGCATAGATAATGTTGTCTGCCTTACCTTTCGATTGGCAGGGAAAGAGGAAGGATATCTGAGGTCCCTGTCTCAGTACCTCACCAAGGAAGTGAAAAGCAACTATAGCTTTTACCAGTGGTATGATTATGGTTCTCTGATGAGGTTGTTGAGAACCAAGACGAAACTGTTTGCCAGCTTTTTTCGCAGTAACCGTCAGTCAACATGCAACAAGTTCATCGTGACTGGGTTTGATATTGGCTCATCAGCCGAAGAAGAGGGTAAAGTTGGTGGCACAGTCGTATTGTACAGACATGGTACACTTGCTCAAGAAGACTTCGAGCCACCAAGCCAACCGGGAAAGCCTCAGTGTGACGTCATCGATCATAGTACTGTCAATGTCTCATGGTCTCCGCCAGATAAAGGCGTGGACGGTGTACAGGGGTACATCGTCAAATACAAGAGGTTTCGTGGGAAGAACCAATCCGGTGATATCTTGGATGAAGTTCGCACAGAAAAGGGAGACACTTGCTGCACAGTTAGGAATCTGGAACCTGATGAAGTTTTACGATTCCAGATCACAGCAGTCTGTTCAGTAGGCGTCAGTCCAGACAGTGAAAGCAGTGACAGGGTGACGACTCTACCGGCCAGCCCTCCAGGGAAGCCAGAAGCGCGTCCTGCTTCAGCATCCAGCATCGCTCTTGAGTGGGAACATCCTGCTCAGTCAGGAAAACATGTCACCATCCGAAGTTATTTTATCAAGTTTGGGAAGGTTGTAAATGGGGCAGTGCCAAATTGGCAACCAGAAGTAGGGACTGGATCTTCGGAAGGAAGGTTTACCGTACGCAAGCTGGAAACCAACGTATCCTACGTGTTTCAGGTGGTTGCCATTTATGAACCTTGGGCGACTAGTCTCCCAAGTACGAACAGTGATGTCTGTGCTACGCTACCTGTGAGCCAACCGGGCAAACCGGAGCTGGGCGATGTTACGGCATCAAGTGTCGAAATGAAGTGGACAAGCCCTACCAAAATAGGTCCAGGAGTGAAGCTCAAGGAATATTTCATAAAATACGCTGAGGTTGAAGAACAGCAAAGCCAGATACCAGAATGGAAGTGGAAACAGGTATGGACCTACAGTCTACACGAAGAATATAAGCTGTCTGGTCTACTGCCGAACAGGACGTACATATCTCGTGTCGTACTGGTGCTTGAGGATGACTACATTACACAGAGTGAACCCAGTGTTCCATTTACGACGCTTCCGGCTGGCCCACCGACTGACGTGACAGTTGAACAGACATCAGCGACAGATATCAAGGTCTCTTGGTCGAAGCCTACATTAATCAGCCAACAAAAAGCCATCAAACACTATCGGATCGATTATCAGATTGTCGGTGTTACTAACAATGTTGAACAGAAGGAAGTTAATACCAGCGACGATTCTCTCACTTCTACCATCAAAGACGCCACACCAGAAACCAAGTTCAAAATCTGGGTGACTGCCGTCTGTGGTGAGGAGGACAAATTGGGTGAGAGTAGCAAAGTTGTCTCATTCACTACCAAAAAATTTCTAAAGCATGAAATAAAAGTCAACGCCAAGACTCTGCAACCCGGAAATAAAAAGAACGGAAAACCGTGCATCTTGAAATTCCCACTTAAAGAAGTGTGCCGCAGACCCTACTGCCAAAGTTTTAGCTTCGGTGAGCCACCGAAAATGCAAGGTGTCGAACACAAAGTGATCATGGTGGTTGGTGTAACTGGCTCGGGCAAGAGTACCCTCATCAATGCGATGGCCAACCACATCTTGGACGTTGACCGGAAAGATGACTTCCGCTTCAAGATGGTCGATGTAGACGAGGCGAGAGGGTCGTCTCAAGCTCACAGCCAGACTCAGATCATCACATCTTACACTATCTATCGCAACAATTATCTCAGCCTGCCCTACACTCTGACTATAATCGACACTCCCGGCTTTGGGGACACGCACGGCATCGAACGAGACAAGGCAATCAAAGGTCATATCGAACAGTTCTTCTTGGATGCCGAGTCCCACGGTATCGATCACATTGACGCCATCGGGTTCGTCGTTAAGGCGTCCGATTCTCGGTTGACCACGACCCACATGTTCTTGTTCGATTCTCTTTTGTCTGTGTTTGGGAAGGATATATCGGACAACATTTTCCTTTTGGTGACGTTCGCAGACGAGGGCGAACCGCCTGTTTTTGATGCAGTCCAGGCATTTATTTCGTACGTGGACACTGATAGTGCATTCAAGTTCAACAACTCTGCACTATTTGTGGGGTATGACACGGATCGAAAGGGTTCAAAAAAGAAAGCCGGTAAAGCAGCAAAAGTTAAAATGGTCGACGTGTTCTGGAAAATGGGTAAGGAAAACATGACAGACTTCCTTCTGGAAATCCAGACCCTGGAACCTCGAAGTCTTGTCCTGACGAAGGAAGTACTCGAAGAAAGAAAGCGTTTGGAGGTGATGGTACATGGTCTTCAACCTCAGATTAATCTTGGAATTTGCAAGCTGGCGGAACTACAGTGGGAACATCAGCTTCTTCAGCAACACGAGAAAGATATCGAGGCAAACAAAGACTTCAAATTCGAACTTGAAGTTCCAAAGTCCAAGATGGTTGAGATAACTGGAGAATTCATAACCAACTGCAGCAAATGTCACTTCACCTGCCACTACCCATGTGGTATTGCGGACGACAAGAAGAAAGATAGGTGTTCGGCAATGAAAGATGGTGTTTGTACTGTTTGCCCAGGAAAATGTGCATGGAATGTGCATTTCAACCAGCCTTACAGGTTTGAGTTCTTTAAGGAGAAGGAGCGGAGGACCTACGGAGAAATAGAAGCAATGTACAAAGATGCATCAGGGAAGAAGATGACAGTAGAACAGGTGATTAAAAAGCAGGTTGAAGAAGTAAAAGCGGTTCGCGCTTGTGTCTGCAAATTAGTGTCGGACACGCGTCAAAGTATCATGCGTCTAGAGGAAATTGCGCTAAAGCCAAACCCACTAAGCATCCCGGAGTACATAGATGTCTTGATTGAAAGTGAGAAAAGCAGTCACAAAAAAGGTTGGCAAACGAGAATAAATGCACTGCAGGGAGTAAGGAAAGAGGAAGAAATGTTGGACAAGGTCAAGGATGAAAATTACAACCCCTTCGAGAACTACAGTAACACGTTTCAGCCTGCTGGAAAAGACAACAAATCGAGATGGTTTGGGAGGTTTTTGTCATCATGGATGTCATAATGTTCCCCTACCCATGTTCGGAAAATGATAAATTCAGAATATGATGAAAAAGTTAAGTTTTTTTTTGGGGGGGGGGCGAAATCTTGGCAAAACAATGGGTTTCCCCAATGTGCATATTCTCATTAATTTCCAAGATCACAATTGACTTGCAAGATTTGAACCAGAGTTATAAAACTATTAAATTAAATGAATAACACTGCAGCACCTCTTTGCTAACTTGCATGCTTGGCCCTCTGCCGTGCATCTGTTCCGCTGCAGTATGCAGTGAATCGTGGTTACAATGTCCGTCACTGCGCGCAGTGTAATTATGCCGACCGTATACGGTCGAAATAGAAAGATACTCTTGACTAAAGGTGATGCGATTATTTGATCCACCCCTTGTGCTTGTTTTAATATTTTTTTGTCCGTTTTCAACACGTTCTTGAATACTTAGTCACTTGAAACTTACACTCGTCTTGGAGCAGCTTACAAGGTCAGCCTATGTTCGTGCATCTATGTGCATTAGTCTGGCACCGTTTGTTTCATGTATAATTTCAGGATACATAAATCAAGGCAGTAAGTCAAGCCTCCATGCGAACGTGGAAAAGGCATATTTTATTTACATGTCATACCCCTATACTGCAGACTTTTAGCCAATCTAAATCCATTTAATATACCAGGATAATTGTGTACGCTCTGGGACCAGCTTTACCGGTAGGCTCGCTTTGTTTTGTTTTTCCAAAGATGACAGACTTGATTAGAAAAATGTTGATATTATTTACATTCTTACAAAGCCGGAGTCTTTTATTCGACTTTGACTTTCTATTGTCATACTGACGTCTCAGTTAACGTACAGTCAGTTTGGTCAATTTCATCGACCAAAAAAGACCTCCAATATTGCAAACCCTCCACTAATTTGGCCAGCCAAAGTTGGAAGCAATTTGTGACGTCACACCGCACCTTCATGGGCGTCGCGAGGGGGGGGGGGGCCAAGGGGGGCACTTGCGCCCCCCCCCCCTGGAAAAGCAAAAAAAGGAAGGAAAAAAAGAAGAAAAAAGAAAACAAAAAGAGGCGCGAAGACAAAGTGATGTAAATTTAATGAGTTGGCGGGGGGGGGGCACAATGTCCCTGCCCCCCTCTAAAACTGATAAATCGAGAATGTGTTGAGAAATACAAGCATTTTTTGGCAAAAAAATGTTTTGCCCCCCTCTAGAAAAAATCCTGGCGACGCCCATGCGCACCTTGCTTATTTTCGTGCACTTTTTGTCTCGCAAAATGTGCTCTATAGAATAAAATACATTTTTTCTGCATTTCTCTTAGTCGCCATTATCGGGTAACCCTGTCAAATTTCGGGTAGGTCTGTGGACAATTCGTACGAATTGAAACAAAATGCAACAGGTTTTTCACAAGAAGAACGCAAACTGTAGACCAGATGCTCATGCATTAGTATATCAATTAATAAATTGCTTATAAATCACGGCATGACTGATCAGTGTATCTTTCCCATTGACAAATGGCCATTGATTTTAATGATATAGTAAACGTTGGTGTATACTTGGCGTCATTGTGATGACTTGTAGGTTATCGTGTGCCGATACTTTTCGGATCGGATTAAAATGGAAATGTAGATACATTACATGAACATAAAATATTTACGCGATTATTCTGTGTTAACCCTACATATAGCTTGTACAGACATGCATGTGTGTAATCATTATTCATTGTTTGTTAATTGCATAATCGTATGAATCCTACACAGAAGTTCATGATTGTAGAAGAATGTTATTCGAAAATCGTTATAGTATAGGTCCTACGGGCAATTTTCTTGGTTGACTTGAAAGACAGGCCAATCCTCACATTGATGCCACTATATTCATTACCAGCAAAGACCAATGTTAACAGGAACCAGCTTCTCTAGACTTGTTTTGGTTCCATTTAAAATCCGTGGGGCTAGCTGTGTAGAATAATTACATGTACATTTTTATTGATAGCACGTTGAGAAGTAGGGCTGACTTTTTTATGTCATGTGTTATAATGATTGTGAGGAACTTATATATTCCTGAAGGTACCATTAGGGAGACACGTTATCGTAATTTCTTCGATAATAGGGAGACATCGGTCATAAGGGAGACATTTTCATCTCTCCCTAATGTCACAGCCCCCCTTTAGAGGCAAAATTTTATTGTCGCAATTAGTTATATTTGTTGCTCGTGGTCTAATTAGTAAACACACCAAAATTCGTGGAAAAGGGACAAGGGAATATTGGGTTAGGGCACATTTAAGTTTGAAAAATTTCGGTGCACAAGTCTGTGGGAAAGTCTCCCTAATGACCCATTTCTTGTAATTATTAAATACTGTAATTATGAAATCGGGAACATCACAGTGAAACATAATATTTTGAGTGGGATAAAATTGAAAGTGTACTCAAGTGCTATGTCACTATTTACGCCAATTAGAATTATAATAGTTTTGTATTATGTCAAATATTAAATTGTATACCCAGACGTTATAGTGATTGTTGGTGATGAAAACGTTATACGCGAACATGTAGTTGGTTACATTATGGTAGCTACGTACAAGCGTTTTAGAAGGTATTGTCCATGCACCCTGCAGTAAAACATTCATATTAGTACTTGCATAAATTTACATCTATTTAATTGTTAATGCCTTGTTACAACCCAATGTTCAGTTTAAGTTGATTTCAATTTATGGAAGGCAAATACTGCATCATTCTGTCTTTGCTGCCACTTAATACCAAGTTTCTGTTGAATAAATCGTAGTTTGGTTTAGAAGTCTATAAACGATACACAACATAATTCATGAGAAAAAAATATTTTAATTGAGAAGTGTTTATCCTCTTTTAGGAATGATTACTTGAGGCAGAACAGAACAACGAAACAAACTAAGAAGAGTATATGCACAAATATTAACAATACTAATGTAAACTCTCTAATGCATACAATCAATGTGGGGTCCGTATATGTGGAAATATTAAGTCTAATATTCAAATATTTAGCATATTTGCGTACATTTAATCGTTAACGGTTTTGTTTTGATTGTATTTAGTTCGATTGTAGCGATAAAATTACATTTGTATCGATAGTATGTTTAGATTTGTGTTTTGAATAATTGATGTGTTTTAATTTCTTTTTATAATTGAGTATTTTAGATTGTGAGGATCGTATAAATTGTCAATCCTCAAATTGGGAACTTCGTGGTGAAACATATATTCGGAGTAAGATAGTAGAAACTGTAGTCGATTGCTGTGTGAGTGTTTACGGCAATTATTATAATAACTTCATAACAATGCCTACTATTACTTTATATACTCAGACGTTTGTGATTTTTGGAGTACATGCAATTTTTTTTGGTTTCGAAAACTAGCAAAATGCACGAGAGAAAAAATATGTTTATGGAGAAGTGTTTATTTTAACCTCATTTCGGAATGATTATACTTTAGGCGTAGATGCACCCCAAAAAAATATTTCGAAATCTAGAATGATATGCCCTACATGTTTATCGACAAGTGTTCCTTTTATGATCCTCATTTCGGAAAGATTACATTACATTTCATTTCCAAAACGGAAACTTATTTTTGGAGAGGATGCAAAGAAAAGTGTTTGGTTTGGAAATTTAGACGGTATAAGCATAAAGTATGAGAAAACAAAATATCCAGAACATTCCAATAACGGAAAAGTAGATGCACAGAACAATGTCTCCGTATCTTTTTTTCATGCATGTATATGCCCTGTGACACAAGACATCAATGAAACAAAAACCTTTTTTTTAAATTAAGGCTTTATCACATGTAATGCACACAAAAGGACGATAAAGCAACTTATTTCATTGTTTTTAAATCAAAATGCACATTTCGAATAATGATACATTGAGACTAAAATGTATCATTATTAGATTTCACTGCTTAGATGCAATATGATACGTCGTCGCTTCACAGTAGTAAAATAAATGCAGACTGCTTGCTTTAGAATATAACAGTAATCTGCCAATTCGAATTACTATAGCTTTTTAAATTATGCGTATTAGTGGTTTGCATGGTTTTATACCCAGACGTCAGTGCTCTTGGAATAGTTATCACAATAAGTCTGAGGATTCAAAATAGTATCCTGGTGTACATGTAGTATGAAATTTTGACTGTATGACATACGGACTCTTTGTTTGTATATCGCTCATAGTATAAAAGTGAAAATAATCGAAACGTGACTGGTCGCGTGCAATGGTGGATCAAGGGAGCCACCCCAGCGATTTTTTTTTAATCGGAGTGAAGACACGTTTATGTCTCAAATTTTCAGGAAATAATTTAAAACGTTGCGTATCTCCCTTGCAAGCCATTAGCTACACTTAACTTGTAGTGTTGATATTAAAATGTGGAAATAGTGCATGATACTATTTACTTAATCCCCTTCCCCATTTTGAAAGAAAAATAGTCAAGCCCTCTTGCCCCCGCCCCGCCCCCACAATATCTGGTTCTTGATCCACCCTTGGTGGCTTGGTCACGTGTAAAGGCTAGATTCACACAAGGTAAAAGAGACATATGAGTCCAAATTTCATAGGACACTAGTAAAATATTCAATCGAGTGCCTTTGGTTTTCGACAAAAAAGTACACAAAATTTACGGGAAAAATATTTGTCTGATTGAATAAGTCAACCGTGCAAAGAACATAATATTTCAAAAGAAAGTAGTCTAACGAGCACTCGCTCTTGTTATCGTGTATTTCTTATGTTATTTCCAATTGCTGGGTGAAATATAATTAGAATATATTGCAAAATCAAAACATATACTTGCTGTAGTTTGATTTAATGCACTTTTTATGACTTCACATTATAACATGAATATTAAGAATGATGTTACATTTGTTAGCGTTATAGTTAAATTGTACCCGTATGGTTAATTATTATAAGCGTATAAGGTACAGGGTGGGCCAAAAAAGAAAGCGATTCATAATGAGAAAAAATAGTTTAACAAATATGTTGCTGGCTCCATTTAATAAAAATAATACAGG